TCCAATCCAGGGAATCGAACACCTTAAATATACCAATCATGGTTCCGTCATATTAAAAATCGAAATAACACTCATTCGCAGCTAAACATGTCTGGGCTACAGTGGGGCGGCATCAGCAGCAGTGCAAAGTTGTTCTCACACTACCCTCACCATCTGCTCATGAAACGCTCTGAAAGATTTTTTTCATCGCAGAATTTCAGTTCTGCCCCCAAAAGACTCCACGTCCAACCAAGCTCACCTGATTTTACTGTCCAAGAAAACTCGAGTGAATGTGAGAAGAGCTTTGATGATTTTTTGATATGAAACATTCAATCTGATACATGACTGCAGCAACTGAAGCTGCCTGGTGCCTCTAATTTTGGAATACAAGGATCACCAACTTTTGTTGCTGCAGGGAGGGATGCTCATCACTATCATATAACTAACCAGTACTACAGTAGGATTTTAATATCATCATTATCATATTGGAGCATTGACAGCCCTATTTTCAACAGACGGAAGGGATACTGACACTCTCAGGGAATTAAAGGAAAGGCTTAATCCAATTGTTGACCCAGCGAAAAAATGGATTGGCTTTATGAAGGGGGCTTGCATCAATTTGCTCGAGGATCTGTGCAATTGGGTACTCAGACCAGACTCTCACATGGCTTGGATCCATGGCTTGGCACGAAACGGAAAAAGTGCAATAGCAGTTTTTCTTGCTGCAAAATTACGGGAAATGAATGGCTAGATTATTTTGGCACTTACTTTTCATTCTGTCAAGGGTCAGGAAACAGATAATATCTTGTCACTTGTGCCAACTATGTGCTATCATTTGGCAAAAGTATATCCAGAATATGCGATGCATTTACTGGATATATTGTAGAAGGATGCTTCCTTGCAGGCAAAACACATATCTCTAAAGGAGCAGTTTTCCATCTTCTGGAAACCACTGTATATAATCAGTTCACCACAGCCAACTGTGATTATCATCGATGGACTGGATGAATAGGGCAACCAAAATGAGCGGTATATACTACTGAAAAATCTACAAGCCCATTTGAGCAAGATCAAATGGATTCAGATAATCATAACAAGTCGGCCTTATGATGAAATTGAAAAAGCAATGGCAAACCAGGAGCAAATTCAACCATTTAACCTCACTACTAATACACTGCACACCATGATATTGGGATATTCTTATGGGAAAGATTTGCATATTTGAGAAATGGAAGAGTTTCAAAAAGCTATATAGATAATCTTGTGTCCAAAGCAGATGGCCTGTTTGGTTAGGCCATCACAGCAATGGAGTTCATAGAGTCAGGATTTGACATAGTAGCAAATATTGGGAATTTACTGCACCTGAAACATCACAGTTACATTGAGCAACCACGTATTGAATTGTATAGGCTGTACAAAGAAGTGTTGATGTAATACTTTGGCAATAAACAGAGGCAAAAGCACTTTCAAATTTTCAATTGATTGTTGGAACAATACTTTTGGCATGAGCCCTTGGCAATTGACACTCTGGCAAACATGTTGAACTTGGATCATGATGTAGTGAAAAATGTCCTTGGAGCATTAAAGGCATTGTTATATGATTATGGTGGAAAAGTGTATTATCATTTGTCCTTGAAAGAGTTCCTATACTTTGAACAATGTCCAAATGAGTTTCAGATCCAGGAAAATCTGCAACACCAGAATTTGGCAAACATCTGCATAAAAGTCTTGTTCAAGGAACTTAAATTTAATATCTGCCTTCTGGAAATATCATCAATTCCAAATCATGAAATAAAGGATCTGCAAAACAGGATTGATGAGAGGATCTCAGGTCAGCTGCAGTATAGTGTGCAATGGTGGGCCCACCATGTAGAAAATGCTGAAGCAGGTAACAGCATAATTCAAAAGATAGGATATTTTATAAGTAGTTGTCAAATAATATTCTGGTTGGAATGCATGAGTTTAATGGGGAAGATTGATGGGATAATACTTAGTACAACTAAGATGAAGAGATGGGCCATAAAAATAAAGGTAAGCATTACTTTTCACTGAGTGACCAGTAATTGATGCAAAACTAGGACATATATATGGTGAGGGGAATACAAGAGTTGCAGCAGTTTGTAAATGTATTCTCTGTTGTATTACAAGAAAGTACACCACGTATCTATGTATCAGGATGTGCATTTGTACCTTCAGAGTCTGCACCGCAAGAAAACAGGATTGTACAATCTAGACAGGTTGTAAAAGTAACAAGAGGTGGAAGTAATATGAAAAGGGAGAAGATGTTGCATGTGATAGATATCAAAGCTGGAGTAACTTCTGTAGTATATTCACCTGATGGTCAATATGTGGTATCTGGCTTTAAGGATAGGACAGTAAGAATTTGGAATGCTCAAACAGGTCTGCAGGTTGGGGAGCCACTCAAAGGCCACACAAAGTGGGTCAAATCAGTGGCATATTCACCTGATGGTCAATATGTGGTGTCTGGCTCTGAGGATGAGACAGTAAGAATTTGGGATGCTCAGACAGGTCTGCAGGTTAGGGAGCCATTTACAGGCCACACTGATATGGTTACCTCAGTGGCATATTCACCTAATGGCCAATATGTGGTCTCTGGCTCATGGGATAAGACAGTAAGAATTTGGAATGCTCAAATGGGTCTGCATGTTGGGGAGCCACTCACAGGCCACACTCTTCTAGTTATGTCAGTAGCATATTCACCCAATGGTCAATATGTGGTATCTGGTTCAACGGATAAGACAATAAGAATTTGGAATGCTCAAACAGGTCTGCAGGTTGGGGAGTCACTTGAAGGCCACACTAGTGCTGTTACATCAGTGGCATATTCACCTGATGGTCAATATATGGTGTCTGGCTCTGATGATGAGATAATAAGAATTTGGAATGCCCCAACAGGTCTGCAGACTGGGGAGCCACTCACAGGCCCCAATAATTGGATTAAGCCAGTGACTTATTCAGCTAATGGTCAATATGTAGTGTCTGGTTCAGAGGATGAGACAGTAAAAATATGGAATTCTCAGGCAGGTCTGCACATTGAAGAGCCATTCAAAGGCAAAGCTAATTCACTCAACTCAGTGGCATCTTTGTCTTATGGTCAATGTAAGGGGGAAAATGACTGTATATCTCCTACAAATCATAACTTCTATGATTTAAAACATACTAAGATCTCCTTTAGTAGTACCATCATACAACCAGAATACCACATGTCAATTAACAGTCTGCTGCATAATTACAATTTTCATGCTACTTCACCATTAGTGTATAGTCATCATCACTTCCATTCACTGTCAGTTTCCACCCCCCCTTCTGATGATATTTTTCACTCAGAATGTCACACTCAGCTTCCTCCAGGCATCCCATCAGGTTATATTAATGACCGAGGCTGGCTCTGTTCTGAAGATGGTTAACTCATTCTTTGGCTTCTTCCATCAATGAGGGGTGAATCTAAGGATAGATGTCAAGTTCTTACCATTCCCTCTGATGCTACAAACTGTGCTCTTTCTGTGGATTGGTCAAATTTTGCTTATGGAACTAAATGGACTGAATGTTGGCATTCCACTTGATCATGCAATCAATGTTTATTCTAACAGTAGAACTTGAAACTTCTACCCTTCCCAAGCCCCTCAAGACATTACTTCTTGGAAATTTTTTTCTTGAGCTCTTTGTACTGCCATTGAAGTTCTTACTATTTCCTTGGCTTCAACTAAAATTGAATTCTACATTTTCCATTTCTCTCTGTTCTCCTGAATTAAAGCAATCTGGTGATCTCTAATTCAGGGACATTTGCCAGTGTGATCCTAGGATTGTGCCGTATCTTTTTCTCAGTATCAGTAGATACATCTATGCTATTATATATATTGGTTTGTAACATTATTTGAACTTTGATTCATCAAAAATAATACTGAAATTCCAAATGACTTAGTCACGTTACTGCAATCATCATGTCAAAAATCAGAATGTTTTTGAGGGGATTATATGGACTATAAGTATATTCAAAGTAAATGTCTAACTTTCAAATTGCTAAGAAACAGATAGTGTTATGATATATTTTAGTTCTTGGTTTTCAGTATTGTAAGACCTCTTAATCTAATAACTCTGAGGCATAAGCAATATCTCATTCTATTACACAAATAGGCCCAAATAATGTTGCCGTAGTGGCGGTGCGTGTAAGGGTTTAGATCTTCAGACCCACAACCTCTTTAAGTATTTGAAAGACACTTGTAGTTATAGCATCTAGCTCCTCAATCCACTCCCTTATGTGTAGCTTGCAGTTTCATGTATTTCATTATCAGATTTGGTAGTGTATTTAAGTACGTAGTTACGGGCTTTGTATGTTGTCGAATCAACACCATAGTGCTCCCTTCTCTCGCATCTCCATTCCGAGCATTGAGGTCTCGCCAGATCCCTCACAGTGCGAAGGAAAAAGGGTAAGTAGCTTTTGTAACTAGTACTAGTACCCCCTTCGGAAACACATGCGGCTACAGGCCGTAGGCATAACAAGTATATAGGATGCACGCTCCAGGCAAGGATTTTACGTCGCGGTTGTAGTCCAGTGATACACAGCTGGCAGCTAGATGTGGGGCCATAATCAATGATCACCAGAATCAGGATGTATCATATAACTCTGGGCAAATCTAAGTAGTAGGGACTTAAACCTCGGTTTGAGTCTGTTACAGTTCAAACTGCAGAAGCCGTTGGTAACGCCGCTATGCCATATGGGAATTGCTATGACAGGGAATACTAAGCATATGAACTTGTCTGCACCGGTGTATAGCAAAGATCTCCGCATATATTCGCTATTTGAATTCAATACACACTCTAAGAAAGACCCTATGTCGGAGTCTGATGATATACTCTACAAACTTGGCTAGGTTTTAAGCTGTGGCCGGTGGAGCCAGGATGTAAGTAACTGGGTGACTTCTTTATGAGTGTGTTCTGTCTACTTTGAAAAAAATTTCATCAACAGGTACAAAAAACAAAAAAATCCAACTTCAGATACATTCCAATGCGGGGAATCGAACCCCGGGCTGCTGTGCAATATCTAGACGGTTCACAGGCTCCTGAATGAAAGACAGCAATGTTAGCCACTACACCACATTGGAATTAAAAGTTTGTCCTGCTCGTAACCTTATTACCTAATTCTCAATTGGAAGCGGTAAGCAGAATTTCTTTTTTTCTTTATTGCTCAGAACCAAGCGGGCCTCTTACAATGTAGCACAATATGTATATATTAGCTTCGCAACTTGATAGATGTACAATCATACAAATAATTCCCATTTAAGTAAGCACGTCGTTAAATCCCATCTGTTTGCTAGGGAAGTGCCTACACCCAACCCAACCCAACCGAACCCTCCCCACCTTCAAGCTTCAAGTCTCAAGTCCCATACCTTGATAGTCCAATATCCATGCACATCGTATCGCGTTGACCTTTTTATGTCTTTCGGAAGTTCCTTTCCTCATTCCCCACAAATCTCCTAAACGCGATGTGAACACGTCCCTGCACCCCTCCTCTCAACAACGAACACGAACAATACCAACAAAGATCCCCGCATCCTCCATCCATCCATACCATCCATCCGATCCTCAAAACATCCAACTAGCAGCAGCATCCGCATTCCCCCCGCCGCACCCAACATCGATATGCCACTTCCCTCGTAGCGCCTAGATACATCAGCACACGTATATTATCTTCCGAGTGATTTTATCTTTGACGGGATGTACCTTCGCCTGCAAAAGAGGGTTGTGATGAACCTAATACACATATTTTGTCTTTGAGAGGATGTACCTCCGCCTACAGAAGAGGGTCGTGATGAACCTAATATACATAGACAGAGAATGAACATCAGTTACGTCCATAGGTGACACGGAATGGAAGGAGGCATAGCCCCACCTGCTGCATCTGCACTTCTACTAGCATTCAAAGCTTCTCTCAGAGGCTCTTCCTCCGCTTCCAATCCTCTGGCCTTTGCAGGCGGCTGATGTTCCGCCAAGAACGGAATTTCTCTCCCTTGAATCCTCAACACGTTCTTCTCCAGATCGATGGAGGCTCGGTAGAACTTGAGCATATCGAGTCCTAGAAGCAGATCCGACCCTAGGCCCTAGATGTCCAAAATTGAGAAACGGATTAGGCAATCATGTACGGAATCGGGAGGGAAGGGGGTGGGGTGTAGACATACGTACAGTATACGTACCTCCATGACCATAAAGCCCCACTCCAAATGCAAGTCTGCGACTTTGAGCGGACTTGAATGTACTCGTCCGATAATTCTCGCTGTACCCACTCCACGGGCTAATCCGGAGAAACGGGTGTCCAAAAGACGCATAATGCTAGGGAAGCTTTAAGAACGTCGTTCTGGTCAGAAAACCATAATAAACTTGCTCGCAGTTTTCTGCACATTCCGGCGAAACTAGATGAGAATATGAGTCCATCGGAGAGAAGAGATGAATGATGCATATGTACTCACTGATTGTTTGCTGTGCGCCACTAGCCACACAGGCCTTCATTGGATGCCCATTGACTTCTACATCGATACTGCAGCAACAACACATCAGCATTAACAATCCACGAAAAGGAAACCAAGGGAATACACAAACTAGAGCATAGTAGCCATCCCAAAACTCCGGGCTATTCCAAGGGGCTATTCCAAGGGGCAACCGCACATGCAAGCGCTGATCAAAATATCACTGTCAGGATAATTTCTCATGCCTTCCCGTTTCCAGCTGTTCACGAAACTCTAGCATTGTTTTTAAAAAATGAGCCTTACTGATCGTGTTTACCTACAAACAAACCACTAATTCATTGCTCCACGAGATTGTACAGTTGTCCCGGCCAAGTCCCGGCATTTGTGGAGCTTAGTGGAGCAATGAATAGTGCATTTGTTTGGACATAAATACCATCAGTGGATGACTTCCCGTAGGCATTAATTGCCAAAAATCATGCAATTAATCGTTTCGGAATGTTCGGATAACAGACCGATTCCTGGATCAGGCTGAAATTTGAAATTTCAGAGCTGCTGTTAACTTTCGATTTACAAAGGGGTCGGGACCCCTTTGTAAATGTGTTTTCGGATGTTGGTGACATTTGCTAGTCTATATTTGGGCATTCTGATGACATGTGCACATGCAATGCCATGGTGGTTGCCATGCCGCGGCAGTTATGGTTTACTCAGAGAGCTGGTTATGCTTGCAGAGTTGGATATGCTCGCAGAGAGGTCAACCTCTGAAAAAAATGTATCCGGGATTGGAGGACAACTGTAGTATAAAAATTATAGGTATTCGAAGTTATGCTTCTCAGTGTTTCACTGCACATCTCGTCGCATTGAATAATCTACCTTCCTCTTACTGAGAAACTCGAGCTCCCCTTCGGCAATAATGTCTGAACAGAATATCAATTCTGATGGAAAGTGATCAGCATACCAACAGTCAGCGAATTCCAATGCCAGGATGCCATTCTTCGCCCATCCCTGGTCCTGGTCACTCAATGTATCCACCTCCAGGTCTTCCTCATCCACCTCCTCACCGTCCAAGGCTACCTCAGTATATTCCCTCTCGCCCTCCCAGTCTTCCCCACCCTCCGAGTCTTCCTCATGTTCCTGGGCTTTCTCATGCTTCCGAAGGCGAATCCATGGTGACTCCAAGCGAGGATTTGGCATCAATTGAGCCTGAGTAAGATAAAGACACAATGGGTTCTGCCGGTGAATGCATCCAGTTTCATGCTCCAAAACCCAGAAGCTAAGGTTGCAAGGGTAAGGACACTCAACTCCATCTGTTCGTCATCTTCCTGCTCCGTCTGCTGCCGGGGGATGAAGGGGAGCAGCTGCATTACACTGGGCAAAGCCGCAATCGTTGTGGACTCGGGACAAAAGAGGATCAACGGTATCATGTGAACTATGCGACGTTCAATTAAATCATTGCGGAAACGGCAAGGCAAATAATTCAACAATTAATCCAATTTCCAATCTTTTTGGAACTCGCCCAATCTTTTTATTTGAAGCTTTAATTGCTGCAGGAAGTCGTCCAA